AGATTTAAAACCATTGTTTAAAACAAAAGGAAGTTGCTTTTTAGCGGACTTAAAACAAAAGCAAAAATGAATTTGAATATTCATTAAAAACATTACAATTATAATTTTAATCATTTTCTTAAAACTTTAGATTTTTGTTTTAATTCTTGATCTTCATTTCTTAAGATCGATAATTACATGCTTCTTAAAAGTATTCCAATTCTAGCCAACGAATAAACCATTTTAATTTACTATTATGAAAGTATTTCTTGACATTTAAGAACAAAGATAAGAAGAAAGATACATTTCAAAAATTAAAAAATATCCTTAATCTTAAAATAATCTTAAATTATAAAAAAGTTAAAACTTTGGGATTGAATGATTTTTAAAATCACTCTAATCTAATCTTGATAATATTTTTTTAACCAGTTAATTATTATTTTCAATTGATATTCAAAGTATTATCGAGAATAAGGACTGAAAAGATACACCAATCATCAGTAAGTATTCTAACCCCTAATAAGATTTAGAGCCCTAACAATAATCTTAAATAAGCTCCTACTTTCAACAAACCTCTACAACATTTGGGGTAGAGATTTATAGAAACTAAATAGATTTTTCTTAATTAGTATGGAAATAATTGTCTCATTTATTTTCTATAAATATATCTTTGATCTGCTGGAAAATTTTTAAAATATCTTCAGTGCAATTTATTTCGGATAAGCTTAAAGTTCTCCATAATTGAAAAGGTTAAATTCTTTATCAAGAAAAAGGCTCTATTTAATTTTCGTGCTAGTGATACTATTATTAGTTAAAATATGTATAAGAAAGACAATTAATCTGACTTAAATTATTTCATTAGTTCAAATGGATATAACAACATTTATCTATAGAAATTTGCCATCATTTCCCTTAAATTTTAATTACTTTTAAGTTTACAAAACAAATAAAAGTGATTCAGACTATAAGTCTGATTTGTATTTCTATTCAAGTATCAAGTAGTATCAGAGAATAGGATTAGTTTGATCAATAAATTAAAAAATATATATACAATTTATCAGTACTGAGTAATATTGAATTTATTTTAATTAAGATTTATTAAAGAAACATGTTTAATTAATTATAATTAGTATTTTTTCGATTTAACCAATTTCTATTAATCATCAAGAAGAAAAAATGTGGTATGATAATGGTAATAAATTGTGATATATCATATTTACGATCTGCATTAGCCGATATAAATTAATTTCAAGAAGCAATTTAATGTTTTAACGAAGCCATTTGTGTTAATCCTAAATATGGTTTTGCATTGATTGGCAAGGGTAATTTATTTTTATTGTAAAATATTATTAGGTAATGCATTAGTATCAAATTGGAGCAATATCAAGATGCAATTAATTGTTTCACCGAAGTTATTTCTATTAATCTTAAATCTGATACTTCATGGACTGGCAAAGGTAATTTAATGTTCAATATAAAAAATAGGATGTGCTTTAGGCAATTTGTTTCAATATAATGAAGCGATTTAATGTTTCAATGAAGCCATTTCTAATAACCCGAAATATGCTGATGCATGGAATTAGAAGGGTAAAAACTATGTTCGATTAAAATAATTAGGCATTGCATTAAATAACTTGAATCAATATTAAGAAGCAATTGAATGTCCCAATGAAGCAATAGCTATTAACCCTAAAAATGTTCATGCATGGAATAACAAGGATAATTTATTGTGAAATATTTTTATATAGGAAATGCATTATTTAAATTGAATCAATTTGAAGAATCAATTGAATGTTATAATTATGCAATATCTATTAACCCTAAATTTGATTTAGAAATTTAAAATAAAGGTAATGATATATTTGATTAAGGTTTAATCCTGATTCTTACCCGCAACAATAATTTAATACAAAAATAATAGAAAAACATGAATGCACTCACAATTTTTGATCAAGCACTTAAAATAAATCCTTCTGTTAGATTAGAATATAAAGGTAAATACAACTTTAATTTCTATTAGCTGATTAATTATTTGAATTACGTAGAAGTTCAGAAGCTAAATACTTTTANAATAAAGCAAAAATTTAAGATGAAGAATTTTTCAGCTTTTGTTTGAAAGGTGTTCTTTCAGAAAAGATGAATCAAAGGAAAGTTGCATTTTGGAGGGATGTATGAAAGTGACATATATTCTCAAAAAAATGAAGAATTATGATTTTAAAAAGCAAAATTACTCTTTGGGTGAATATGAAGGAATGAGATAACATATTATTACAAAAATACTTTAAGATAAGAAGATTGCAGAATTATGAAATGTTTTGTTCATTAGACGTTAGATGAAAAATACATATTCATTTTAGACAATGAACTCTATTAGAAACAAATTAATTTTTTTATTATTGTTAATGTTTAGTTGAAGAAATAGTTATAAAAATTGTTGAATTCTTTGCAAGCACAAAATCAAAAATGCTGATATGTTGATTTAAAGATAACTTTACAAATATAAACAATAACATAAATTCCTTCACCTTTAGAAATAATAATGATATCAGTCAAAAATGTATCATTTTAAACATGGACTTTGTTAAGTTATAACTTTACTTAAAATACAAACTAATTTAGAAAATTTTCACTCATTTGACATGAGAGATCCTAAGCTTGTAGATTCAAATGGCTATTTGGAAAAAGTTGCATTGATTATCAGATGAAAATTTGAGACTTTTTATGAGTAGATCAAAATGCAAATATATTTAAAAATAAAAGTTTGATCTTTATTTGTTCACAATTTAATATGCCATTTATTTATCAAATATTATCTATCAATAATATTAATCAAGTAGCATCTATTATAGAATCCATTTCTACAGTACTTAATTAAATAGTGCAAGCAAAGGATATTTTAAATCGTTTAATTTATTAGAGACAATATCACCTCCCAAAATAGTGTAATTTTAATTATATCAATATAAGATTACTTTAGACTACTCTTTGATCCACAATGACTGAATTTTAGGATTAAATTTATGAGTAAAATTAGCATAACCTAATTTTACCATATTTATGTTCTATGTCTCAAAAAATTACATTTCATTTTCTATAAATGTTATTTCTGAAAACTTTTTGATAAATTTATAATTTTCCTCAGTTTAGAGTTAAAGTTGTAACTTCGCAAGATGATCTATTTCAGTAGAACAATTAATCAATTTAAATTTGAGCCCTTATTTTGAACACCAGAATTTTAGAATATTAAAAATTATAAATATCGATATTTTTAAATGTAAAAATGTTTCAGCCAATTTGCTTCTATAGGTAAACCAATCTATGTTAAATTAAAAAGTATTATATCTAGTTCTGTTGATTGAGCAACATAGTAATTAATGATTTTTAAAGGCAACTGTATATTGGATTTAGGTCTGAAGGCTTATTTGAAATTTGATATGTTTTTTATTTTCAAACAAAGTTCAACAGCATTAGTTATTTATTCTTCTGAGATAATCAATTCTTTAAATAACTTTACATAAGTTTAGTTTACCATCTTGCATCTCAATTATCAAATCTGCATGATCCTAATTATATTTAGGGTAGAAATTTTCTAAGAAATATCTTATATATTTATTTGCATTGAAACTCTTTGTAATAACCTTTAAAGATTAGAGAACTGATTGCAACTTATATTTTCTTAACTTTTCTAATTTCAATAATTATGGCTTCATTTTATCTAATAGGAATTGAAATACTTCAAACCAATCATTTCTTGCAGCAATTTCCATTACTGTTTATCCCTCGTTTTCTAAGAAATAATCGACTTCATTTTAAATTAAAAACTTAGCAGTTTTATGATTATTAAATTTTGCTGCTATTATTAAAGCAGTTTTTCCCCATTTATTTCTTCTATTGAAATCACACCCAAAAGCCTATAAGAACAGGAATGGAACTTAAAGTTTCACTTGATGCTGCTACAGGTAACGGAGTATTTTTCATCTTTGTCTTTGCATCTATATCCATTCCTTCAAGTAATATCAAAGAATTATCATAACACCAAGTGCCAACCTTTCATTCATCTCAACCTCCTTTAGTCCAAAAATTTCATTATATAAAGCATTTCTTTCTTGCATATCCACATACTTAAAGTCTATGTTTGAATATTGAAGAAGAAATTCTATCATATTATATAATCCAAAAAGCTTGCCTTAGAAAATGGAGTTCTTTCCAAATCAATTCTAGCATTATATTAGCTCCTTTTTCTGCAAGAAACCTAATTGTCCTAAGGAACAACGTAATAAATGGAGTTCTATCTTAAACATCTTTATGTTCTAAAGTTATTTTTTGATTAAGCACAAATGCACACACTAAATGAGGAACAAGCATTTTCTGCTTAGCTCTTAATGATACAGCGTAAATGGAAGCTGCATTCTCAATTAAATCTTTAAAAATAATAATTTATGGATTCTATTAGCTTTTTTGCTATTTATTTTTCTATGCATGTTATACATAAATTAAAGTGTTTGAATTTATTTAAGAATATTGATATAAAATTAAATATTAATTGATTATAGTAATGATTTACCTTAGAATTTTTTTGCAGAAATATAAATAATTTATGAATTTGCTAGTTCATATTTTGATTAAGTAATTTGTTTTCATTATCTATTATTGAGATTATACTAAAAATCGCCAGCTTATCTTCAAAAAAATTTCATTTTGAAATGAGAGTCCCAAAGATCTATAATTGTATTTATTCAATTGTATTCAATACGTTTTTAAATTTTCTTCATTTAGTTCATGTGCGATTTAATTAGTTCTTTGATGCTATATCTAGATTATGCTTTTTGAGATGATGATATTACAGTTTCCCCTTAAAAAAATATTATAAATACCGGATTAAAATCTGGTTTCCTTCTTAAGTAATGGTCACTATAACATCTTTTGCGAATTGCTATTAGAAGGTAAAATTATCATAAACTTATTATCTATGGCAAATAATGGTGTTGCAAAAAGAATTAAGCAATAAAAATAAAAATTACTGGTTATGAAATTGATCTTACTCAAAATTATTTCTGTTCTTTTTGTACAGCCTCTTATAGTAGTCGACAGGTTAATACTCCTCTTAAATTTATTAAGCTCTAAATTTGGATAAAATATCCACTATTGATTAAAAAGAAATTTGCTCATTATGATTGGTTTAAAAATCGATCCATAAAAAGATCATTTAAAAATGCTCTCCATAACTCTTCAGCCTCTCAAAAATAAATATCTTGAAAATAAACTATTTCTCATTTCAAAGATTTTCATGAATAATTTAATTCTATTCAACAATAAAATACATATTTAAAACAATGCTGGTATTTTTGGAAAATTTTGGTAAAAATTTCTAAATTTTTCTGCCTATGAATATTCATTTCAGGATAACCATTTTTCAATTCTAAACATCAAATTTATCCTATTTTAAAAAATGAAAAAAAAAGCAATAAAGATAAAAGCAAGCATAAAAGAAAAAAAAAGAATAAGCTTTTTTATATTATGAAATGAGATTTAAGTATAAAATGCTAGTTTTTCTGCTTGAAACCCCTTCTCATAAGAAAGGTATATATTGATGAGGAAAACACTTTTTCTCCTTTTTTAATTTTTGATTCTTTTGTGAAGGTGATTATATTATCAAAAGTACCAAAGACTAGAACTAGAAGTATCAATAAAATATAAAATAGACAAGTGTTTGGACTAAAATTTTGTGTCAGTGGAGTCAAAAAATAATGTTAGGAGTGAATACAAAAACTATGAATGTTTTTATTATTTTCTTTATTTCCCTCAAATTTTGAAAAATAGTATTAATTTTTGAATTAGATAAACTAGATATTATAATAATTTTATATTTATAAATTTGGTGCAAGCGTATTAAGAAATAAGAGCCTGCAATTTTAGATTTTCTGTAATAACATAAATGCACTCTTAATCATGATCTAAAAGGGATTGCATGACACCTTAATTCAATAATTAATCAGAACCTTTCTATTAATCTTATAAAATATTTCTTTATAGCTTAAAAAGTTAAATGTAATATTTTCATTCTATTTTGAGGTTCATTAATCTTCCATTATTGCTCTTCTTATAATATCAATACATTTGTGCTCTGTTTCAAATGCATTAAATATTGCCAGTGCCTTAGTTAAAGAGATAAATTACATCTAAATAGTGCGTAACACCATTTAATGATTTAATGGAACTCGATTCAACTAGATCATCAAAAATGGATTATGCATCTTCAAGTTTGAACTTTTTTTCAATCTGTTATTTTTGATGTTTACCAATCTATGAGAAAACATAGTTTGCCAAAGAAGCAGTAATATTTTTTAATAAGTTAGAATGATAATAGTCAAAAGCCTTTAGAAGTTATTTCTCCTTAGAAATTAAACCTTAAACTATTAACACAATTTCAAATTTATCAAACTCTCTTAAACAAAGAATTTCTTGGACACATATTATTAATCCTTTCAAAGGATGTTTTTTAGCATCAAATCAGCCTTTCAAACCAGCTTTCTGCTAAATCAATCGTTGTTTAAGCTATCAAAATTTGGTTTAATTTTTGGATTGACTCATAAAATGAAATACATCATTGACATATAAGGGGTGTAAAATCTTATTATTTATTGATGTAACTTTAGAGTAACAATTTATTGTATTCTAAGCTCACAAAATAGTCCAAGATATAATTAACTTTTAACTATCCATTTTTTGTTCTTTATAAAATATTTAATAAAAAATCGAGCAATTTAAATTTTTAATCAATTCTATTATATCTGACAACAGGATCATTTTTAAAGAAAAAATATACTTGTTATTTTGCTTCCTCATTCCTAATTCTATCTTTTATTTTCTCTATTTAATTGATTGATCTGTTAACATGATTGAAGCTGTTAATTGTGATTATTCTAAAGAAAGTTAAAATACATAACATAAATCATTCGTAAATAACTTGTACGATTTTTGTTTTCTAATTATTGAAAAGAATATTAATGTTTGGCAAATTCTATCCATAAATGATTAAGGATTGCTTCATTTATTAGATCTTTATTTAATAGGCGAATATAATCCTAATCCATTGTTTCATGACAAAGAAACTTGTAACCTTTATTTTCAAGATTAAATAATATATACTAGGTAATTGTTAACAAAGACACTATTGATTTTTCTTATTTCGTGTATGTGTTGATATACTGAAGTATTATAATATTTTGAATCATTTTCGTAATCAATCAAATTCATGTAATGTTTACATTACAAATGAGCTAAAAGAGCATGCATTAAAGTACCTTCAGCATAATCATATAATTTAAAGCTTAACAATTGAATGAAAGTTATACAGATATTATTATTTTTTCTTCATATCAAATCATTGCATTTACTTCATCCAACAATGATTCAAATAAATGCAGGATGCGAATTAATTAAGGCTATTTTTCAATTACAAAATACTTTCTTTTATAATTTCTTAGATTAATAATCATAAACATCATAAGATTAAACAATATATACTGAGAGTGAAATTTAAAATCCTCAAAATATAAAAAGCTATATAAATATTAGCTTATTAATTTAAAACTCTACCTTTGCAAAAAAGCGACAAAGTTTAATATCTCATTTTACAGATCTAATTTATTAAGATATGTTCAATTAATTTTAAGTGAACTATTCTTTATTTTAAAGCAAAAATCTATTATTGTTTTCATAATTAAATACAAAAGACTTGAGGCTGATGATACTCTATAAGGTTGGTTATAGTTTTTGTCAGTGTGTTACAGTCATATCCTGCCAACTTTGTCAGACAAGTGGAAATATAATTATTTATT